GTCCGTGGGATTTGAACCCTAGACCTGCTACTTGGAGAGGGTGACAACTTGACCACTTCACTAAGCTGCCACACCCTTTACCCAGGTTTTTATATAGGTATTAAAGAGTTGTTATAGAATATAGACTTCTTGAGCGATCTAAAAAGCAAAATAAATACTTTAGTACCCAGAGTACTGAAAAAGTGACCCCAGAACTCCTTTTTTTACCCTACTTCTCTCAATCCACTGGGCCAATTTTAATGTTTTAACTGCCATTCTGATCGCAAGACACTCCTCTACAACTTTACTTAGGCATCAAAAAGAGGTTTACTTAGTAAGAAAAAAAATTTTTTTTGGGAAACTCCAGATTCCAAAAAGGCAAAATTTACATAGTAAACTTATCCCCAACATTTACTATGTAATTTTACTGGATCACGAATTAAATAAAAAAAAAGTTCATTAAATTTGATCTTGTGGTTGCTAAAATATTATTACTCAAAGTTTAGAAAAAATTCTGTATAGCTTATTTTGATAGATGTTTTTATTTTTTTTTAAAATTTTAATTAAAGATATCTCAGCAATATTAAGTCAATTTTAATGAACTACAAAGTCAAATTTGATAAACTTTTTTTATTTAAATTTTATGAATTCATAGAATTCAATTAAAAAAAGATTGCTAAGATATTTTTGTTTAAACTTAGAAAAATTTTGTAAAGCCTATTTTATAAATATTTTAAATTTTTTTAAAACTTTAAGCAAAGATATTTTAGCAACTACTAAACTAAACTTAATTATTTGAATTCTATAAATATATAGAATTTAAATAAAAAAAGTTTATTAAATTTGGTTTTGTAGTTGTTGAAATATCTTTACTTAAAATTTGAAACAAAAATTAATTTGTAAATACAGTATATACTGCATATAATATGCATACATACATATATATATGCAGCATACCATGTGCATGCATGGTATAGAAAAACACTATTTTGCCCATCTCTAGTTCTATCAGAGAGTTTTAATAGGATTTTTTTAAATATCAGACAAAATAAATATCTTAAAGAAAGTTAATTGATATTGTTGTTCTAGCAGAGAGTTTTGATAGATATCAAACAAGGTAAATATCTCAAAAAAAGTTGATTGATATTTTGTTGTTCTATTGGAAAGTTTTGATAGAGTTTTTTTAGATATTGAACTAATAATAACTCGAAAAAAAAATAATTAATATTTTGTTGCTTTATTAGAGAGAGTTTTGATAGAGTTTCTTTAGATATCGAACAAGTAATATCTTGAAAAAAGGTAATTGATATTTTTGTTGTTCTATCAGAGAGTTTTAGTAGAATTTTTTTAGATATCGAACAAGTAATATCTCAAAGAAAGGTAACTGATATTTTTGTTGTTCTATTGAAGAGTTTTGGTAGAATTTCTTTAAATATCGGACAAGTAATATCACAAAAAAAGTTGATTAGTATTTTTGTTGTTCTATCAGAGAGTTTTGGTAGAATTTCTTTAGATATCAAACAAGTAATATCTTGAAGAAAGTTGATTGATATTTTAATGTTTTATTAGAACAAAGTTAATTTCTTAAAAGAAATTTTAGTATTTTACTAAAAATTTGATAGGTATTGTCTATCTTATATAGTTATAAATCTGTATCTATATATATTTAAAACATATCTTCTATCTGATATAGCTATATCTTAATTTATAAGTAGTATCTACTAGCAAATATAGCTATATTAAATATTGTAAATCTGCTCAAATAATTATTTATCATGTTTTATATATATGTATATATGTATATACATACATTATATATATCTGAATAATATTTATCCTAAAAGTAGTGACATATATTATATAATACAGTAACATTTTATTATAGAGCTACCCCCTCCTCCCACATAAGACCAATTAGCCAATCAAATTGTATAATTAGTTTTATATAAAAATTTTTTTGACCCCCTTTCTAGGATATTACGTAATATCTAATATTGATAATATATTTAGAAATATTGGCTATTAAATAAAGCTATATATATAAGAGGTATTGGCTAGCAGATACCGATATATCTTTATAAAAGTAAACTGTAATAAGCATGTACAGTACAGGTAGTGCGCATTTTGCTAACAATCACTTCATCGACATCTTAGTTTACCAATATTCAATTTATAGACAAGTTTATTTCACCAACAATTATTTCACCAACAACATTTTACCAACAATGTAATTCTGGTCATTATTGTTAGTGTTAGGTTAGAATTAGAGTTAAAGTTAGTGTAATTTATAAAAAATACTTGTTGGTGAAATAAGTTGTCAGTGAAATAATTGTCGGTAAAATGAACTTGTCGGTAAATTAATTGTTGGTGAACTAAGTTGTCTGTGAAGTAATTGTCAATAAAATAATACATATCCATTATGGCTAATTTAGTTTTTTGAACCTTTTTTTAAATACAAAAACTGTAAAATTTGATCAAATTTTATTGACGACCCCTTAAAATTATAATTCTTTGTTAAATGTTAAACAATTAATTGACTTGTACACCACTGCAAAGTTCTCCAAAATAAAAAATCACATAAGAGAACTAATGTCTAACCGATTACCCACCCTCTAATCAATTACTTTTTTTAGAAAAAAATAATAATTATTAATAGTGTAATTATTAGGAATAGGCAATCACATACTTATTAGTGCAGCTTAATCAGTACATATTTTAATTTAGATTATTTATTGATACGTATCTATTGTCATTAGTCATATAACAATTAAGTCCTCTTACTTTGTACGTACAAATATAATTATTATTATTATTAAATAGATAGACTTAAATATAATTATTATTTTAATTAATTATATATATTATTTTTTTAATAGCTATTTAAATTATTATTTAGTTATTATAAATTTGACAAAACTTTATGCTGAAATAATGAAGTTAAATAATGAAAGTTTCAAAAATCAACAAGTATCTAAGCCTTACCAATGCATTTTATATCAAATAAAACAATTTAAAAGTTTAAAAGAGCTTTATCAACATGAAATTCTCAAACACTATGATTACAAAATACTACTATCTGATATTCCTTATTTATCTCCAAATACAATTCAACAATTTTGTGAAATGTTAATATTTTTTATTAAGAAATGATTGCCACTTCATTTTAAAAAAACAGAAAAACAAACAATCAAAATACCATGTAGCAAAAGTCAATTTGTTGGAGTATGTGGGCCATGGATTCAACGTTATTTACCTTGTAAAAGAAAATATATATATTCTTTTAAAGGTCAGGATACAGATGCAACAATGGGAATGATATTGCAAGACAATAAATAGAGTGGTCGATGGTATTAACTTGAACAAAAGGTATATGTAATATTATATATTGTATCAATATCTGATACTCAAAAAATGCCTGAAATGAAAGTAGAATAGCATACTGAAACAATAACTGATACTCATAAAAATACTATTTCTATGAGATTTATTATTATTAAATTTCAAATAGATACAATTAGCTATCAAATTCAAAGATAATTAAATATTATTTTAGAAATTTTATTAAATAATTACTGTATTAATATTTATTAATTTATTTAGAAAATAAAATAATAATTTCTACTTTATATAAATGTATTTGGGTTTTTTAAAAGCTAATGGTATTCTATTTTTAATGTAATATAATAATTTATTCTCATGCTGTAAAATTTCTAAAATTGCTGAATATTGAGTTTTATTTTTTCCGCTATCTTTTAAAGTTCTATTAAAAAAGTATGTTGTATATTGATGTTTTTTTTTTCAACTGGAGCATATGAAAATGCTTCAAGACCTAATTTGCTATAATTCTGAATCATATTTGAAATATGATTACAAAAAAGATGCATATAAGGTGTTATATCAGATGGTTTATAAAGTCCTTTAATAAAATTTGGTGAATTGGATATTTCTGAAGTTGGTATTAAAAATAGTTCTATCTATTTTTTTGTCTTGTTTTCAAATTCATCTGCGGTAGTTTTAGTATTAAGCAATAATATATAAAGTTCATAAAATTCATCTCAAAGTTGTTGAATAAGCATAGCTTTTTGTTAACTAAAAAGCTTAGTAAGATCAAATTCAAAAAGCATTTTAAGCTTTTTATCTCCTGATAATAAAGTAAACTTCTATATGCATAAGTTATGATCTTGCTAGAAATTAAAAACAATACTAATTCATTTCATTTCTTCACTAATTATATTTCTAATTTCATTCATATTAATATTAATCTCAGCTAATACTAAACCTCATAAGTGGTCTGTAACTCTAAGCAATATATGAAGTTTATCTGGAATTCAATTTTCAAGTGGTATCATAAAAAAGAGTAGTTGTCAAATATGTCCAGGACAAGAACTACGATTGTTAAGAAGCATATTCATATTTTTTTTGTTTCAATATTTATTATACAATCCTATTTCCTTTTTGAAGCATTTATAGTAAGGACAAAAATATGTTGCATTTGCAGTATTTAGTCCTAGATATAGAGCAAGAAATTTCCAATCTAATGAAAAATAGAGTTTGATAGTTCATTTTATATTAAACTTATTAATAATTTCATTATTAGAAATGTCTTGTAAGTCTTGAATTAATGATGCTAAAGCTTTTTGTAAAAGTTGATAGTCTTCAATACCAGGATATAAAGCTACAGTATAATGCTATTCAGGTATCTATAAATTATCAATATTATTTAGAATTGAATATATTACTATAACATGCTTTACTTGGTGCCTCACATTTCTACTGTCACCTAAAATTTGCAACATAATTAAAGGATTATTTGGATCTAATATACTTTTATCAATGTAAAATAGAATTATATATTTAAAATATTTTTGATACTTCTATAACTAGCCTTTCCAATTAACTTAGTTATACCATGAATTACTTCCTCATTATTAATATGAATTTTTTCATTATTTATTACAGATAGTGCTAAAGTATTTATATTAATATCTGTAATATAAAGAGGTATAATATCTTGCATTAAGTTATCAGGATTAAGTTTTTTATTACTAATTATATATTCATGATTTAACTCTGGTGTAATTTTTGTTATTAAATGAATAGCATTTCGTGGAATATAATTATAATCCATTGTATGAACATAAGCATTCTTTTTTGTTGTTCTAAAACTTCATCTTTTGAATATTTAACTATCCAATTTTGATTGCCAACTGATAAAATAAGAGACTTTATTTGTAATTGATCCTTATGATCTAAATATATTGTTTTATCATTAATAAAATCACAAATTCCTTTACCAATATGTTTAATTCAAGATAATTTAGCTGAATTACTGAGAGTTTCAATAGGGTGAAAAATATTTAATCTACGGCAAGAATCTCTAACTTGTTCTATACATCTAAGTTGTAATCCAAATACTATTGTCCCTGATAATATTGATGTTCCTTCAGAATTGTAAGTCTTTTTAAAAAATTGCTTTTTTAATATATATTAAATTTTAAAAAATATATATTAAAAAAAAACTTTTTTACCTGAATGAATAAATTTGCCACATAAGTTGCACTTTTCCATGACTCAATTGTATATATTTCAGTTATAATTTTAAAACAAGGCTTTAATAGAATCTTATTGTTTATATTGTAATACATATAATTAATAAAGCATGTTATATTTCATATTTTGTTTTTTTTACCCAACTAACTACAACCTTGTAATCATCAGGAATTCTATAACAATTATTTTTTTTTTTGAGTTTTAGCAAGAATAGATAGTGTCGAATAATGATTTTCAGAAATAATCATATAATAGTAAGTGCTACTAGATCTATTTCTGTATTCAATTTCAGCTTTTTTAGAATAATCATAAAGTTCTTCTAAATCTATAGTTATTTTAAATCAAAAGAGAAATTGTATAAAAAATATTTTAAATAATGATTACGATTATGATGATCAAAGTATAAGAATTACAATAGAACAATAAAAAAACTTCATACTGTATTATAATTTACGAGTACTATATATCACTAATAAATCAATATAAATATTCTGTTATATATATATATTTCTTTGTTTAATTTTATATAACATTGCTATTAAGATAATTAAAAAATGATTATTATCATATTGGTATGTGATTTAAATGCATTGATAAATTTGTTATTATATTGTTATAGAATGAGTTAATATTATAGAACATATTAGAGATTTTATCTCTATTAGATCCAGAAGATTGAAACGATCAAAACAAGCTACAATACATAACAAATGGACTATCGGTTAGCTAGATAATACTTTTTGTACTTTTTATACCTTTTGTACTTTTTATACCTTTTGTACCTTTCATATCTTTTATACCTTTTATACTTTTTATACCTTTTGTACCTTTTATATCTTTTATATGTTTAGTACTTTTTATACCTTTTATACATGTTGTAAAAGCTATATAAACTCCAGCTTTTATTTTTCTTGTACAGGAGGATTCGTTCCCTGCAATGTTCTAAAATATTAGGATTCTATAGGAATAGATATCTATAGATAGCTGTGTATTTAAGCATTGTATCATAAATAAATAAACATATCTTTTCCCTAAAGTAAACCATGTTACTATGCTTCTAATGAATATACCGAACTGCTCTAGTAAGAAAACATTCTACTTCCACACCGCTTCATATCTCGCCCTGTCATATTAGAGATCCCTGTCGCTATGTGCTATGTTGCAGGTGGTAAATTAAGAAGGCTACTCCACTTGTAACAGTAAGAACATCTCTTTTAATAACTCTTCATTTTCATCAGAATGGATAAGAAATCGAGCTTTTCTTCTATACACTAAGAAGAATAGAGTTATCTTTGTCATATTTTGTTTGGCAGTTTTATAGTTGAAAAGTACTAAAAGTATTAATGTATTTTATTCTTTTATATTGGTTATTAGTTTAGATATTAATTCACAAAGTGTCTTATTAAAACATTTTACTAATCTATTTGTTTGTAAATGATAGAGCGTCAAATAGTGGTAGTTAATATTAATTTTTTTTAAGAATTCATTTATTAGATTATTATAGAATACATTCTTCTATTGGATAATAGATATTGTAAATATTCATAGCAACAAACGATATCTTTATATATAAAATCTGCTACTTCTTGAGTATTAGTATTTTTAATTGCTTTAGCTTCTGGCTATTTGGTTATGTAGTCCATAGTAACTACAATGTACCTATTATCTTTAGGAGTTACAAGAAATTTTTTTACAATATCTATTCTGATTTTGTAAAATAGAGCTTCAACTAATATTGGATGCAATAGAGGTTTTGCTAAATTCTTTTTTCTTCTTTAATAGGCATTGCAAGTATAAATAAATCTTTGAATATTATTATATATTTGTAGTCAATAATACTTTATTAAAAATTATATTTATACTATAGTGTTCTCCTAACAGATAAGTATTAATTAAGTACAAGATCGATTCTATCTCATATTTTTGAATAACTTTTAGTAAATAATTAATCTTATATTTATTCTTTTTATAAATTAAATCATTCTTTACTATAAAAAATTGGCTTTGGGTTTGAATACTTCAACATTCTTGTGAAGTTATTTTTTTTGGTAATATATACTTTGAAAAATAGTTTGGCTAATATTTAGTATAAGTGGAAATATATAAATTATATAATATTATTTAATATAAAAATAATTATTTAAACTAATCTAAACAGATTTGAGAATAGTTAGGGTTAGAGTGAGGGTTATAGTATTGTTTTTAGTTAGCTTTGGGTTAGGGTTAGAGTTTTTTTATATTAAATAATCTTATAATATTTATATATTCCCACCTATATTAAATAAGATCCAATAGTTTTTTAGTAATTAATAATGGAGTGGCTCTATTTTTTAATCTGCCAAGATACTAACTACCTGGACCGGATTAATTTTAATGTCAAATTTTGTTGAAAGTTTTGTAATTTTTTTAGAATTAAATTTCCTTTTGAAATCTTTTATTAAATTTTTTCTATTATTTAAATTTAAATTTTTATACTAATCTTTTAATAGGCAATCCACTAGTCACCTGGATAAAAATTTTTTTTTTATATATAAATTTTACTATAAGTACAAATGCATAGCGCTTCTATTTAAAACTTTTACTCTTCGGCTTCTAACAAAAGTTGTAGAGCTCATCAAAATGTATTTAATATTGTAAGGATAATAAAATTGGTTTGGTAGTTCTTGAGAAATTTTTAAAAACTTCTTCTTCACATATAAAATTTCTTAATTTTTTTTAAAAAAATTTTATATGTAAAAAAGAAGTTTTTTAAAGATTTCTCAAAAACTACCAGACCAATTTTATTA